GCTGAGGCGAGAGGATTGCTTGAGGCCAGGAGTTTGAGACCAACCTGGGCATCTTAGTGAGACCCCATCTCTAGTTTTTTTTTTTTTTAAAGACAGGGCCTTTCTCTGTTGCCCAGGATGGAGTGCAGTGGTGCCATCGTAGTTCACTGCACCCTCATTCTCCTGGGCCCAAGTTATCCTCCCACTTCAGCCTCCCAGGTAGCTGGGACTACAGGCCTGCACCACCAAGCCTGGCTAATTTTTAAATTTTGGAGGTCTTGCTATGTTGCCCAGGCTGATCTTGAACTCCTGGGCACAAGTGATTCTGCTACCTCTGTCTCTCAAGTAGATAGGAGTACAGGTGCACATCACCATGACCACCTAACTTTTATTTATTTATTTATTTTTTTTTTTGAGGCAGAGTTTCGCTCTGTCCCCCAGGCTGGAGTGTAGTGGTGTGATCTCGGCTCACTGCAAGCTCTGCCTCCCAGGTTCACGCCATTCTCCTGCCTCAGCCTCCCAAGTAGCTGGGACTACAGGCGCCCACCGCCACGCCCGGCTAATACTTTGTATTTTTAGTAGAGACGGGGTTTCACCGTGTTAGCCAGGATGGTCTCGATCTCCTGACCTCGTGATCCACCCACCTTGGCCTCCCAAAGTGCTGGGATTACAGGCATGAGCCACCACACCTGGCCCTAAATTTTAATTTTTTTTGTAGAGATGTGATCTTGCTTTGTTGCCTAGGCTGGTCTTGAGCTCCTGGGCTCAAGTGATCTGCCACGTTGGCCCCCCAAAGTTCCGGAATTACAGATGTGAGCCACTGCACCTGGCCTCCAGTTTTCTTTTATGTCCCTCCCCAGTCTTCCTTTGGCCTTCAGCTGTGGGGACAGAGATGCCCCCTGCCTCCTGTTCCCCGCCTTCTACCTGGTCTTGCAAGACCCCCTCCAGCCATCCTTCCAAGTTTACTATGTAATGTCTGTTCCCCATCAAGCCTGCAAAGCTCATGACAGTCACAAGATCTGCCCTTCCTGAGGACATTATGTACTGAGGACATTGCTTGGCACATAAGGGGCCCTTGTGCAAAACATCTGGAAACCAGTAAAGAATGTGGCTGTTGAGTTACTGATTAATGTGTTGACGAATTCATTGATTCCTGAGGCTAGTACGTACAGTAAGGGTTAGATCTTGAACGTGCTTCTCATATCCGTTGTGATAAACCCTCTTATCTTCTATTGCTTTTGAACTTTTATAGACGTGATGTCAGGGGCAGAGTCACACAGTTAACTGGAATCGTTGAACTGATGCATCGGTTTCTAATTTTCTAAACTCAGATTTGAAATCACCTGTGGTCACTAAACTCCGTCCCATTCCACAGTCCCTGCACATGATGACTTAAGTTTTGTAAATGTTTTTTGGAGATAGTAAAGGCAGTATCTCTTTCAACATTTTTGTCCCTTATCTTTAGTGATACCCAGCTCTGTACAAATTCTGTCCATGTAAGCAAAGTCTTTTTTTTTTTTCCCAGATAAGGTCTCGCTCTGTCACTGAGGCTGGAGTGCAGAGGTTCAGTCATAGCTCACTGCAGCCTTCAACTCCTGGGCTCAGGCTGTCCTCCCACCTCAGCCTCTTGAGTACCTGGGACTACAGGCGTGCACAAACCACACCTGCCTTATCTTTTTAATTTTTTCCAGAGACAGAGTCTCCCTATGTTGCCCAGGCTAGTCTCAAACTCTTGGTCTCAAGTGATCCTCCTGCCTCAGCCTCCCAAAGTGCTGGGATTACAGGTGTGAGCCACCACACTTGTCTGCAAAGTCTTACTGATTTGAAGGAAGATTTGAAGGAAGGATGTCTCAGAGAACTTTTTTTTTCTTCTAATATTTACTTAATCTTATTGATTTGGGGAAGGGCAAGGGAATCCCAGTTTTCTAGATTTTTTTCCTTATAGGAATACGTTCTTACTTGGCTACCTCTCTTTATAAACTTACTTCTTAAAGATGCTGAAGGGTGATCCCGCATTAGTGTATAGGCAAAAATGGTGTGTTCACTTCATATATACTGATTAGATGACTTTGTTAAATCTTGTAGTTTGTTGATGTTGATTTTACCGAGACACTTGTGGAACAAATATATTTTCATACAACCTTACACATCTCAGTAGTTTTCCCCACTCATGCAGTAACTTTTTCTCCCCTGCTTTCCCTCCTCCTCTCCTTACCTCTTCTCCACTCCCCTCCTCCCCTCTTCCCTTCCCTCCTCTTCTCATTTGATACAAAGCCCTAACTCTCTTCCTCTACAGATCATCCTACCCGTGGTTGAAATTGCAACTTCCCCTGCAAGCCAGGTGACCGAACCTGAGATCTTTGTATTGTCAGGGCTTGCATATTCTATATGCCTGCTAAATCCTGAAAGTTCTTTCATTCCTCCCTTCTAACCTACCCAAATCCTTCTAATCTCCCACTATGGTTAATTATCTCTGATGCTCCTAAAGGGTGACCTGCTGCTACATTGTGACAAGGTGATGCATTGTTCTTAAGAGGATCTGTGCAGATTATTATCCCAGAGTGGGGTGGATGGGGGAGGATACAGGATATATCCAAAGAATGTGTTGCAAACTAATTGACAGGAGAGAGAGAGGGAGAGAGAGAGTGTTTTGTGTGTGTGTGTGTGTGTGTGTGTGTGTGTGTGTGTGTGTGTGTGTAGGCATGCATCCATCTTTTTCTTGCATACTTGAGCCGTAGGGAAATAGAGCCATATATATTCTCTTCAACCAAATTAACAGTTGTAGACAGTGGTCTTGCTGTTGCTTTGACCATTTATGGTATTTTCAAGAGCTCAGTGTTACCCCCAGATCTTCAGTATCACACCTTGGCTGGTCAGTTGTAGCTACATTTTCCTTCCACCTTGTGCCCTGAAGAAATTTAGAAAGTCACCAGCTGACACACAAGTTTATTGTAAAAGTTCACTAGTACCATAGTATTTGGACCTTGGAAAATATTTCACCACCAGAACAGTGAAATCGTGGTTGTCTCCTAAGCTCATCCACAAAAATACAGTTTGACTGTCATGCATTTGAGATACCGTGCACTTAATCATGAAATATTACTGAGAGGAACACTCTTGCCCAACAGTGGTGCAAAGCAGAAAAATAGGGCATTTAGCTAGGAGAAAATGACTCGAGATGTCAGCGATAAGATGGAAAGAATGTGGGTATGTGGCAGGTCTTTTACAACTCCAACAGATTGCTCTAGAAAACAGTCACTACATACCAAAATTAGCCAGTCACGATGGCATGCGCCTGTAATCCCAGCTAGTCGGGAGGCTGAGGCAGGAGAATCACTTGAACCCGGAGACGGAGGTTGCAGTGAGCCAAAATTGTGCTATTGCACTCCAAGCCTGGGCGACAGAGCAAGACTCTGTCTCAAACAACAACAACAACAACAACAAAAAACCGCTCCATCACAATACTTCTCCCTCCTCATGTACTCTCCCTGCTTCCCTTTATGCCTCAAGACCACACATTTTGAACTTGCTGAGCTGTAGGAAGTGAATGGAGAGGTGGGCCACAGGTGCACAGCCTTTAGTAACTGAGGAAAAAGAAAAAAGAAATTTCTAACCCTGGCTTCCTGAGCTCCCTTCAGCAACCCAGCTGCTAAGGGGCAGGAATCCAGCAGCAAGGTGGAGAGAGGAAGGCATTCCTACAACCTGTATTTGTGGGTCCTCCACACTCCAGCGTCATTAGTCCCCCAACTCCAGCATTGTTGTGGAATCTGCAAATTTAAAAGTGCATTAGGTAAGAGCGTTTTTTATAAGAGGCCTATATTTTTGCTAATACATAAAAACATTGTGATTAGTCAAATAAATGTTCGTTTAAAACTCACAGTAGCATGTTGTCTATTTTTTTTCCTTTTAGAAATGGGGTCTCGCTCTGTCACCCAGGTTGGAGTGCAGTGGTGTGATCATAGCTCACTGCAGCCTCTAATTCCTGGGCTCAAGGGATCCTCCCACCTCAGCCTCCTGAATTGCTTGGATGCCACCATGCCTGGCTGATTCTTTTATTGTAGAGATGGGATCTTGCTGTGTTGCTCATGCTGCTTTCGAACCCCTGGCCTCAAGTGATCCTCCTGCCTCGGCTTCCCAAAGTGCTGGGATGACGGGCATTGAGCCTCCTTGCCCAGCCTATGATTTTTCTTAGCATTAATCTCTGTGTCATTGCAAGCTCTCTCACATGTCCTTGCTCATTCTCCATTGTTTTGGTGGAATGGCCCGTACTAGCAGACAAGACCATCCGGTCGACCTTGAGCATCCTTCCCTGTCCTCAGGGAAGGTTTCCTGGGCATCATTTTGTTTTCTTTGTACACCAGCGGGTGCAGCTCATTAGAATGAGCTTGCAGGGGAGCATCTGTGATAGCATCATGATCAGATGAGACATAACTGGCACGGGTCCTGGTTATGGTTGAGGACCTTTATGCTCCTGATTCTACTGGGTGCCTTCTACTGGTGAAGGCTCATGTGCTCATGGAAACACGGGCATGCTGGTGTCTTCTGAGTCCTCTCCAAAAACAAAGCCCAGGTCAGGTACAGTGGCTCACGTTTGTAATCCCAGCACTTTGGGAGGACGAGGCAGGAGGATTGCTTGAGCTCTGGAGTTCAAGACCAGCCTGGGCAACACAGTGAGACCCCGTCTCTAAAAATAATAGTAATAAAAATTAGCCAGGCATGGTGGCATGCACCTGTAGTCCTAGCTACATGTGCATTTGAACACCTATCTGTACCCATATGTTAGCATCCGTCTTTACCCATGTGCTGATATCTGTGTGCTCCATGTCCCGACATCTGTCCCTGGCTATTGCCATCTGTCTGTACACACATTTTGGCATCTAGCTGCATCTATACGCCAACACCTAGCTGACGTCGTATCGCCGCCCTGCCCTGCCGGGGCCCTGAGCATGTGCTGACACCTAGCTGACGGCGTACCCCCTGCCTTGCCCTGGCAGGGCCCTGAGCGTGTGCTGTCCCCGCAGGTTCTGGACGTGGCATGACGAGCGCTTCCTCTACATGCTCATGGAGTATGTGCCGGGCGGGGAGCTCTTCAGCTACCTGCGCAACCGGGGGCGCTTCTCCAGCACCACGGGGCTCTTCTACTCTGCGGAGATCATCTGTGCCATCGAGTACCTGCACTCCAAGGAGATCGTCTACAGAGACTTGAAGCCGGAGAACATCCTGCTGGATAGGGATGGCCACATCAAGCTCACGGACTTTGGGTTCGCCAAGAAGCTGGTAGACAGGTAAGAGGAACGTGAGCTCAGACGGGATCTACGCTGCTTGGCAATGACAAAGATTGTGGTAGTTGTGGCAGGTCAGGCAGGGGAAGACTGGGAACCAGAGTGTAACTCTCGTGTGTGGGAGACACTTGCAGCCAGGGATGAGAGAGCCAGGCTGAGCTGCAGCTCATTTTAAGTGGGCTGCCATTGCTGGCCAAGAGCCGGTGGGCAGGAAGTCGCTCTCCCTCACCCGCACCGTGGAGGAAATCGGAACACCACATTTCCACTGTTGACCCGAAATGATGAGGAAATAAGTCATATCCAAGTTTGAATTGCCCTGACTATAAAATAGATCTGCACCGAATAGGATACAATATCTCTTGAAATTAAATGCCAGGTGCCGTGGCTCACACCTGTAATCCCAGAGCTTTGGGATGCTGAGGTGGAAGAATCATTTGAGCCCAGGAGTTTGAGACCAGTCTGGACAACATAGCGAGACCCCATCTCTACAGAAATATATATATATATATATATATATATATAAAGTTGATTATGGTGGTGGATCTCTGTAGTCCCAGCTACTTGGGAGACTGATGTTGGAGGATCATTTGAGCCCCGGAAGTTGAGGCTGCAGTGAGCTGTGATCATACCACTGCACTCCAGCCTGGGTGAAAGAGCAAGATCCTGTCTCAAAAAAAACCAAAAAAATCCAAATTGCATATTCCACACACACCTGCTCACACACACACACACTTACTTTTTTCTGGTATCTATATTTCTATTATGTATATATATATTTCCACTGTATATGTATATTAAATAGAAATATATCTAACACTATATTATTTTATATAACAGTATATTTTATGTACATATGATATAGTATTATATATGTATAGTATATATTATACTATAATATAGTATACTATGACTATGATAGTATCATATAGGTATACTATATATTATACTATATAATATATAACATTCCTGTGTCATATACATATTACTGTACTCTATATAGTACATATTGTACATATTGTATATTACACATACTATGTATTATATATAGTATATATTACTATACTATACTATGTATTATACTATATTATATATTATATAGTATACCTATATCATACTATATCATATGTATGATATTATATGTGTTTCTTTTCTGGAAACGCACTCCCAGACACACCCCGAAACAACGTTTGAACAAACATCTGGGGACCCCACGGCCCAGCAGCACATGAAACGAACCATCACATGTTGTCTCAGCCAGTGTGGGCTGCACTAACATACGCTCATAGACTGGGCAGCCTCGACAGCAGACATCCATGGCTCACAGCTCTGGAGGCTGCAAGTCCGAGATCAAGATGCGACAGATTGTGCACCTGGAAGGAACCTGCTTCCTGGTTCATAGACAGCGCCTTCTTGCTGTGTCCTCACATGGTGGAAGGGGCGAGGGGGCTCTCTGGGGCCCCTTTTGTAAGGGCACTCATCCCATTCGTGAGACTCCACCTTCGTGATCTCATCATCTCCCAAAGGCCCCACCTCCTAACGCTATCACTTTGGTGATGATGATTTCAACATAGGAATTTTGGGGGGAACACACACATTCAGTTGATAATACATGTATATGTATTTTTTTTCCATGATTGCATTCATTTAACCAGTCTGTCATGACAAAAGACCACACACTGGGCATTAAAGAATAGACCTTTTCCTCTCACTGTCATGGAGGCTGAGGCCTGAGATCCAGATGTGGGCAGGGCTGGTTCCTCCTGAGGCCTCTCTCCTTGGCTTGGAGATGCCGTCTTCTCCCTCTGTCCTCACAGGCTCGTCTCTCTGTGCATGTCTGTATCCTTGTCTCCTCTTCTTATGAGGACACCAGTCCTATTGGATCAGGACCCGCCCTAGTGACCTCATTTTACCTTAATGACCTCTTTAAAGACGCTCTTTCCCATATAGTCACATTCTGAAGTTCTGGGGGTTAGGACTGCAGCATATAAGCTTTAAGGGATACATTTCAGCCTGGAACAATTATATATAGGTATGTTTCCACACACACATACTCCATTGAGGAGAAAACAGTTATCCTTTTTTGTTTGTTTGTTTGTTTGTTTTTGAGACGGAGTCCCACTCTGTCACCCAGGCTGGAGTGCAGTGGCGCGATCTCCGCTCACTGCAAGCTCCGCCTCCCGGGTTCACGCCATTCTCCTTCCTCAGCCTCCCGAGTAGCTGGAACTACAGGCGCCCGCCACAACGCCCGGCTAACTTTTTGTCTTTCTAGTAGAGATGGGGTTTCACCGTGTTAGCCAGGATGGCCTCGATCTCCTGACCTTGTGATCTGCCCGCCTTGGCCTCCCAAAGTGTTGGGATTACAGGGGTGAGCCACCACACCCGGCCCCAGAATGTAGTCTTTTATCTCTCACCCACCTCCCACCCTTTCCCCCAAGTCCTTAAAGTCCATTGTATGGTTCTTATGCCTCGGCGACCTCATAGCTTAGTTCCCAATGGATGTTTAATTTACATTTATAAAATCAACAGTCATAAAAAGTAAATTCACATGCCCAAGCTGCTGAAAAATCCTCAGAAAGATTGTTGGTAACTCCACTGAGTGTCGGTTTTTCAATTAGATTAAATTAATTAAGATAGAATTAGATAATGACATCAGTTCCTCGGTAGACAAGCTACATTTCAAATACCCAGGATGGCACATGGCTATCGGCTTCTGTCTTGGTCAGGCAAGCCTAGAAAATACATCTTATATTTCCATATTCTTTGATGTGGTGGGGTTGGGTAAGGTGATAATTACACTAATGATACTCTTAACATTGTAAAACCGTCTGCGTTTTTGAGAAACTTGATGTGGGGGCAGTTTTACACTAAATGACTCTCTCCTCTGGCGGCTTTTAGAAAAGGGCTCTCCTAGGGAAATTTTATGATGCATTTAAATTCAATCTGATTTCCCCCTGTGGTATTTCTTGTATTACATTTCCAAAAATAAGACGCATGGAAATTAGGTGCATTTTACATGGAATAGGAAAGACGGGATTTTTAAAAATACTGATTTACAGCATCCGTGCTGCCCTCTCTTGGCAGCACACGGTATATTAGTAAATTCGTTTAAAGTCATTTGCAAGTCTAATTCAAACAAACCAGAGATAAAATATTTCATATATTCACTTGTTTATAAGTTTGACAAACCATGTTACTGTCCCGTTAATTCATGATGTCTATTTAAATGGACGAAGATAGTTTAGTATATAACATGCAGCGATTATTGTACTTAATGAACATGTGAAAATCTTAGAAAATGCCTCATTACCATCTTGATAGATTGCTTTTGCAAAGAACGGCATCTTCCTCTGTATGGGTAGTGTAGCTTCTGGAAACTTTTTTTTTTGTGGGTACTCTTTTCTCCTTGTTTTTTTTGACCCTCTTTGTAACGAAGCATCTCTCTTCTGGCCCAGCCCCAGGGAAATTGTGTGCATGGGGACAGGTACATGGCCCTGCCTCTGATTCAGGATTCAAACAGTACATGTGCCTTTTGAATAAAACTTAAATTCACCACTGTATCGTAGACCACTACAGAATAGATGGAACTAAACAGGGAGGCCTCATCTTGAATAACCTTTTTTTTTTTTTTTAAGACAGGGTCTTACTCTGTCACCCAGGCTGGAGTGCAGTGGTGGGATCTTGGCTCATGCAACCTCAGCCTCCTGGGCTCAAGCGATCCTCCCATTTCAGCCTCCCAAGTAGCTGGGATTACAGGCATGTACCACCACGCCTAGCTAATTTTTGTATTTTTAGTAGAGACCTGGTTGCACCACGTTGCCCAGGCTGGTCTTGGTCAGCTGGCCTCAAGTATCCACCTGCCTCGAACTTCCAAAGCATTGGGATTACAGGCGTGAACCACCGCGCCCGGCCTTGAATAACATTTTTGAACATATCCCAGAAAGAAGTACGTTTCTCATTTTTCTCTTATAGCATGGGGTAAAAACATACTTAAGCATGTTGTAATGTATTCTATTCACGACATGAATTTCTTTCTTTGTTTTTTGTTTCTTTTTTGAGACAAGGTCTCACTGTGTCACCCAGGCTGGAGTGCAGTAGTGCGACCATGGCTCACCACAGCCTCGAACTCCCAGGCTCAAGCATTCCTCCTGTCTCTCAGCCTCCCAAGTAGCTGAGACTACAGGCTTGCATCACCATGCCTGGCTAATTTTTTGATTTTTTGTAGAGACAGGGTTTCACTATGTTACCAGGGCCGGTCTTGAACTCCTAAGCTGAAGCAGTCCTCCAACCTTGGCCTCCCAAAGTTTTGGGATTACAGGCGGGAGCTATGGTACTCAGCCTCTCCCTCCCTTCCTTCCTTTCTCCCTCCCTCCCTTCCTTCCTCCCTCCCTCCCTTCCTTCCTCCCTTCTTCTCCCTCCCCTCCCATTCCCTCCAGTTCCTTCCCTTCCCCTCCTCTTCTCCCCTCCCCTCCCCTCCCATCCCTTCCCCTCCACTTCCCTCCCCTCCCCTCCCCTCCCCTCCACTTCCTTCCCCTCCCTCCCCTCCCCTCCCCTCCTCTCCCCTCCCCTTCCCTCCCCTTCCCTCCCTCCCCTCCCCTCCCCTCCCTCCCTCCCCTCCCCTCCCCTCCCCTCCCCTCCCATTCCTTCCCCTTCCCTCTCTCCTTCCCCTCCCTCCCCCCTTCCCCTCCCTCCCCTCCCCCCTCCCCTCTCCTCTCCCCTCTCCTCCCCTCCCCTAGCAACCCTGTTAACTGAATGACTGTCCTACTTATTTTAAACCACTGCTCTTGGTGACTTGATTTCTGACTTTCCTAGGTTGTCAGTATGTTCAGATGGTTTTCTTTTGTGACTTGCGTTCACCAGGCTCTTGTTTTCTAACAGCAATATTACGTTTGTATTTTAAATATTTTGCACACACACTTTATATTATCTAGAGAGCTCCCCTAAAAGATTTGGTGGCAAACTAGAATTATTTCTGGTTTTATGAAATGCTCAAAATAAAATACTGA